CATTTCTCTCAATGTGTGGATGTGTATTTTTTCATTGAATCCCATTGTGTACACAGTTTTCTAAACTGCTTTAAAAAACACTTTAATGTATCCTAAAAAATTGCTCACATCTATACATATTCATTTATAACAGTGGGTTACAAATTGCTCCTGGGAAGTGTCTGGTGAATCCCCACTAGGGCGTGGTCAGGAGAACTTAATGGGAGGGCCCTGCCTTCCACCACACACCCTTACCCACTGCAATTCCACTTTTATATATTTTACGGTTTTTGATATCTGTGTATCTTATATATTTATTTTAAATTTTTAATATTTTACATTTTTGATATCTTTAAAAAATTTTTTTTGACAGAATTTACAAGTTATAAGAACCACAGATGACAGGGTACTGCACATACAAAAGGGGGATTTCTCATCACCAGAGGGCTGCTGGTCAATGCCCATAGTGGTGGGCAACATATGGAGGCACTGTGTTGCCATGTCCCAGCAGGGAGCCTGCACTCCCTGGAGTGGCACAGAGTATCAGTGCTCTGAGGATGCTGGGTCCTGAAGACAGTGCATGGCTGGTTACATTTTTGCTTTTGTGGGAAAAAATAATTCCACCCCCAAAATATTAGAAAACAGCTGATTCATCATGAGGATACATCATTTTCATTTTCATAATTACAACAAGAAAGGATAACTTTATATATAAATTTTTGTGCAATGGCCTAGTAACAAGGGACATCATGCTTTTTACTCTTTGTCTATTTGATAGTACCTCAAAATTATTTTAATTTGTATTTCTTGGATTACTAATGAGATGGAAAAGATTTTATATATTTAATAGTCATTTGTTTCTGTGACAGTCTTTCTTTGCACTACAGGAATTTTTAAAAAATGGCTCTAAAACCTTACTTTTTATTGTACATAGCTTGTGTCTGTTTTTCCATGTTTTCCAGTTCAAGGAAAGTCTGATTTCAATATCCATTGCTCATCTGGAACACTATCTCCCTGACTTCCTTTCTTGGTAATGATCTCAAATCCTCCTCCACTAAGAACACAGAAGCTCTCATTCTTGGGCTCCCTCATCTTTCTATCACTTCACCCCAAACATATCCATATCTATATCTATCTTTATTTTTCTTCCTAGCTCAGAGAATGAAGGCTTCTTATCTTTAAGTTAACCCGTTACCTAAGAACTTGATTCAATCTCTGTTTGTATCCTCTGGTACCTAGTATGGTGCTTGGCAAACAGCTGATGCTCAAAAACTTCGTTGAATGAGAGAGAATTGATCCATTAATTCTCTCCCCTTTATCTCTTTAGTTTTTCCAGCTTCTTTTACTCTTTTGGCTTCTTCCCCTCAGCCTATATATATGTTCAAGTCATTTCCCATCTGTGACGGTCAGCTTTATGTGTCAATTTGGCTGAGCTCTAGTACCCAGTAATTCAAACACTAATGTAGGTGTTGCTGTGAAGGTATTCTGTAGATGTGATTGACATCCACAATCAGTTGACTTTATGTAAAGAAGATTTTCCTGGGTAATATGGGTGATCCTGATCCAGTCAGTTGAAAGGCCTCAAGAACAGAACTTAGATTTCCTTGAAGAAAGAAAGAAGAAGAAACTTCACCTGTGGACTACAGTTTCAACTACTGCCTGAGAGTTTCCCGTCTGACCTATGGATTTCAGACTTTTCCTACCCTACCAGATTTCCCTCCACAATTGCAGAAGCCAATTACTTTCATCAAATCCTTTTATATACCCTATTGGTTCTTTTGACTGGTGAAACCCTGATTGACACACCATCCTTAAAATAAGAACAAAGCAAAACATACCCTCCTTGATCCTATCACCATATAAACTCTGCCTTCCCTTTTCATCTAAGCTTTAAAAAACATTTTCCTGTATTCACTCTTTCTACTTCCTCCCTTCACAATCACCTTTGAGCTATAGTCCTATTTATTCAACCAGTAAATTGGACATTTTCTTGTGGACAGCCTATGGGCAATCACAAACTCGTATATTAAAAGTTACCTCATCATCCCTGCCACCTGTCTAAATCTGTTCCTTGAATGCCATATCTGAAACTCAAGGCAAAAATCTGGAAGTCATGTAAATATTGTAGACATGTAAATATCTAGACACTAGACATCTAAATAAGTCATACTATCTATTTCTAGTACCAATGCTTGAAGATTCAGGCCTTCATCATTTCTGGCCTCAGCTTTTATAAAGGACTGCCATATGGTGTCCTATCTCTACCCTCTCCTCTCTCAAATCTCTTCTCCAGAGAGCTCTTCCTCTGATGCCAGGTGACCAAAATTACCCTGCCTAAGACTCAGTGAGGGATTCCATTATCACCTACAGCAAGGGCTTCTCAACCAAGATTACCATCACAAGGAACTTTTAAAAAACAGATTAGAGCTCTACTAAGAACTAATGAATAAGAATTTCCAAAGTGGGACCTGAAAATCTCTACTTTTAAAAGCTATCCATCTTTTAAAAGTATCCATCTTTTTGATAGCCATCAGGTTTGGGAACTATCAGTCTTCAGGGTAAAAATCCAAATTCTGCCCCTGATCTGACACCAGTACTCCCAGCTTTATCCCTTAGTACACACCATGCACCAATGATCCTGGCTCAGGACTAGTCATTCTTCACAACCATACTGTTTAACACCTCTCCATCAGGAATATCCTTTTCAACTGCCTGGGAAAATTCCCAAACATCCTTTAAAACTTCTATTTAAGCATCATCTATCTTCTTATTCAGCCAGTAAATATCTACTGAGGTCCTACGACATGCCAGGCTCTGAGCTAAGCACGGAGATATAAAGACAAGTAAGCTGTATTGGTAGTACTGCCTTCAGTAAGTTCACATGCCATTGGGGAAGGAGACATACAAATACACAAATAAATACAATACAGTGAAGTAAATTCTGTGACAGAGGCTTTGGTAGGCTGAATAATGCCCCCCCCCCCAAAGATGTTCACATCCTAATCTCCAGGATCTGTAAATATGTTACCTTATGTTGTAGAAGGGATTTTGAACATACGTTTAAGTTAAAGATTATGAGATGGGGAGATTATCCTGATTATCTTGGTAGGCCCAATGTAATCACAAGGGTGTTTTTAAGAGGGAGGCCGGAAGAGGGTGAGAGAGAAAAAAAGGGGGAGATTGGAAGATGCTATGCTATGACTTTGAAGGTGGAGGATGGGGACATGGGCCAAGAAACGATGGCAACCTCCAGAAACCGTAAAATGCAAGGAAGTGAATTCCTCCTGAGAGCCTCCAGAAGGAAACATCCCTGCCAATTTTAGTCCAATGAGATTGATTTTGGACTTCTGACCCCCCCGAAATGTAAGATAATAACTTTATGCTGTTTCAAGCCATTAAGTTTGTGATAATTTGTTACAAAAGCAATAGGAAACTAATACATAGGCCAATATAGAACACTGTGGTGACACATTAAAGGGGTCTATCAAGTTATGGAGTGAGGATGGGGTGTTCAGGAAGCATTACCAAGGGTTATAACCCCAGAGCTGAGTAAGGGAGATCGGGTTTCAGAATGCTCCAGGTAGAGGAAGTAGTATGAGCAAAGTCAACACAGAAAGCATGGAAAGTTTTAATAAGGCAAGACTACTTGCCTTAAGTAGTAGTAATAATATCAACAATATTAATTATGGTAGGAGTAAATGTTTATTGTTTGTATGCCAGAGGCACTTTACAAGCCTGCAAGGTATTAATTATCATCTTCATTTTATCCATAGGTGTACTAAGGTCTGGAGGAGTTAAGCAACTTTCCTGAGAACAGAGAGCTAGTAAAAGGCAAAGCTAGAATTAGAACCTCGGCAGTCTGTTTCTAAAACCCACTGACTGCCTCTCTAATACATTATGGTGGGGGCCTTATGTACTCAAGGGGCATCAGTGTCGCGAGTAACAATGAACTAATAGAAAGATATTAATGCGGTAACGATCGGCAGAGCTTGGAATATCACCTTGTCTCGGACACTGGAGGATGGGGGTGATGGATAGATGCCTCCAGGCTTTTGCGATATGACTGCGGTTTTGCTGTTGTACGAGACATGATGGGCCTTCCCTCAACTACTCAAAGTAAATGACTCCTTCGTCACAAATTCTGCAACTTGCATAAGACTCTTTATTTCTTCCTTTCCTCCTAACGTCTCAGGCGGAGTTGGGGATGTATGCATCAACACAAATCTGAGCCTCAGTTTGCCTTTCTGTAAAATGCCACAAAGCAGTTCCAAGCTTGGTTGTGCCTCAGAATCCCTTGAGCGGAAGCTTAAACAAAATGCGGTTCCTCACCCCATTCCCAGAGATTCTGAGATTCTGATTACTACCAGAATGGGGCTTTTTTCCTCCCCAAAACTCTCCCCAGGGATTACGATACGCGGTCTGGTTTGGGTACCGTAAAACCCGGTTGCGGGACGACCTGGGTGCTCCCCGGTCCACTGTGTTTGGCCCCACGCTTCCGCGCCCCAGCGGAGGACGCCTCGCCCGGCGCTCCTGGCCCCGCCCCAGTCCTACCCCTTGCCCCCTTCCTCCCGTACTCCGTCACATCGCCACGCCTTCTGTCGCTGCCCTGGGCTCGCCCAGCTCCGCCTTCCCCAGGCCCTCTCGCGCCTCGCAGGATGGCCGCGATGCCTCCGGGCCCGGAGCCGTGGAACCGCGTGAGAATCCCCAAAGCCGGGAGCCGCAGCGCAGTGACGGTGCAGGAGCCGGGAGCAGCCCTGGGTGAGTGAGGTGCCGGGCGAGTGTGCAGACATTTCCAGAGGAGGCCGCCCCGCCGGCCGGCGCACGTGCGCGGAGGCGGGACTTCCTGAGCCCGCGGGACGCTGGGAAGGGGCGCGGGGTGCGACGGGCCGAGAGGGGCCGGCTCGGGAGTTTGCTAAAGAAGCTGCCAGGGTTCCTGTCTTCGCAGTCCTTCACGGAACCCACTGCCCACGCAAGGCCTGGCTGGAGCGGTGAAGGACGAAGGCCCAGCCTCGCGCCAAAGAACGGAGGGAGGCAGACGGAGCTAGCTCCGGGGAAAAGTGCTGCCTGCCTGGGAACCTGTGCTCGCTCGGGCCACCAGGAGCCCTGTTTACCCTCCGATCCGTTTCCCGACTCTTGCTGAGGCGTCCCCTAACCACTCTGGACTTAAATCGCAGTCTTTCTGGATCTCTGCTTCTTATCTGTAAAACTGGGCTAGTTCTCCCTACCCCTCACTGGGGCGTTGGGAGGATCTAACGATGAAATTTGTCTAAACTAAAGTGTTTTACCAACGATTGATGGATAGAATTGCTGCAATTAGGCAGTAGGGCATAGTAGGTAGGAGCTTGGCACAGGAGCTTGGGCCAGGAGTGAAACTGTCTGGTTTTGAATCATAGCTCTTCCTTTTGCTGGAGGTTGGGGGAGTTATTTAACCTTTCTCTTTCTCAGTGAGCTCACTTTCAAATGGCTATTAAAATGGTACCTGCTTGATAGGGGCTTTTGGGGGAATAAAAGAGTTGGTATAGATAAAGCATTTGGAACCCAGCCTGGCGTGGTAAAATACACATTCAATTGTTAGCTATTATTAATATTAAATACTTGTAAACTGTCAAATCATCACATCTGTCTTCCCATTGATGAGTCCTACACAGTTTACATGTTATTTTCCTCTCTGTTCAAAAATGCTTTAACAGGCTTCCAATTAGGCAATGGACATTCACCAACTCCCCATCCCCAAGGCAGCCCCATTCTGTCTCCAGATAGTTAGGACAATAAGAAAATTTTCCATGTTATGTAGAAATCAGCTTTTGTGATACTTCTACCTAGAGTGCTAGTGCTACCCTTAGAGCCATAAATAACACATTAGCTACATCTCATACTTAACAGCTTTTCAGATTTGGAAACATCTCCTGCTGAACTCCCTGTGTGCAGTCAGGTACTCACCAAATAATATAATTTCTGTGGTGGATTACCATGGTTGCCATGGTGGTTCCTTTTTAACAAATATATTCTTATCTATCTTAAAGTGGAATCCAAATACAGTACCTTCGAGTTTGAAGACTGAATTTATTCATTCTGTCTTGCTTATAGGCATAGGAAATGGAGGATTTAGAGAAGTATAGAATGTGCCCCACCTTCAAAGTACTTAAGGTGTACTCATATGAAAGATTATTAAAGTCATGATAAAGTGTGATGTAAAGATGTACATTCTTGTTTAATAGATGTTCTCTTAAGGATTTCCTGGACTTTATATCATCTGTCACTATTTTCCAGCTTCTCATGTACCTGAACTCCTTATTACAGTTGAGACTGATTATTGTAATTTGTTCTTGATCCCTTTAAAACAAGGAAAGATGCTTCCTTTTAGTGTATTTTTTCTATAATATACTTAATATAGAAAAACATACTAAGTCTTATTAAATGTCTCTGCTTTAGACCTTTGCGTTGCAGCTGTAATTAAAGAATGCCATCTTGTTACACTGTCGCTGAAGAGCCAAACCTTAGATGCAGAAGCAGATGTATTATGCACAGTCCTTTACAGCAATCACAACAGAATGGGCCGCCACAAACCTCATTTAGCCCTCAAACAGGTGAGGAGGAAGTCCTGTGTTTGAGGACCAACCTGTTTACTTGATGAAGATGTAGATCACACTGTTACTTACTATTTTGTTTACAGAACTCTCTGTAAATTACTTTGGATTTATAGGTCTTCAGCCCACAGTACACTTAGCTTTCTTTTTTTTTTTTTCCTGAAAACATTTCAAAAAAATAATTTTTGTTAGAAAGTATGTTTAGATAAATTCTTTCCCAGTCCTGTTAGTAGTAGGTAAGTAAAAATTTATTTCATTGTATGCAGTCTGTAATAAGTGTCCAGTTCAATGATAAAATGATTTGATCAAGACATAGTGTTGGACATTAAGATACAGTGTCCTGAGCATAATCAAAATTCTAAAATTATGAAAAGAACAAAGGTGTGGTTTACTTATTGTGGGATACATAATCTAATTGAAAGTATGTTAAAGTAATTGAGTATGTAGCAAGTTGTGGTATAAAGTGGTCTCATGAAGTTAGTTAGAGCATGGGGCTTGTGTTTATAAAGTGATTTCATGTAATTTTTGGAGCTTAAGACAGAATTGGGCCCTCCAGCTCAGGGATTACATCATAGAGTAGAGCTTCTTAAGCTGTATTCCTTATATGCTCGTTCATTCATTCACTTTATTAATTCTGCATGTACTTTTTAGAAGTCCAGTGCACTACTTGTGTGATGAGCCACCTTGCAAGTATTTTCTAAAACTTTCTGTGTGTCAGTCACTGTGGTTAGTACTGGAGTGAAAAAGACAGATGTAGTCTCTAATCTTACAGACTCATGCTTTCTGGTTAATTTTTTACTCCCATTACTTAAGGCAAAAAGGATGATTTCTTTATCAAAGAAAGATCTGGGAACATGGTTTTTCCCTAAGTTTTTATTTTGTGTTTTTTTTTCCTGGGGTAGTTTTTATCTCTTGAGTCTTTTATTACAAAAACAAACTTGTTAACTCATATTGAATTAATTTTTCTTTCTGGTTTCCAGGTTGTGGATAATCACCAGTCAAAAATTTGGTGTTCTGTTGTATCTGTTCCTTCTCTGTCTCTGTAGTTTTCCCATCCAGGCAACTGATAAATCAAAACTTTCTCTGCATCTGGTCCTTTCTTCAGTTCTAGCTGCCATTTTCTTTTCTTAGACCTTGTCAACTTTTAGTTGTCTTACTATCCTAACTGATGTTTCCTCCTCCAGTCTTTCCTACACTCTGGCATATTCTGTATGCCAAAACCAGGTTAATCATTCTGAAACACAACTTTGATTTTTAATGTCTCTACATTGTGTCCTGAAGATCCTCTATGATATGGCCTCTTCAGTCTTCTTAGCTCCAGCTTTTCTCTGCCTTCAGATATCTTATATTTTAGCCAACCTGAACTACAACTCTATATGCTCATGTGTTTTTACCCTCTTCTGCGTTCTTGCTCACCTGGACATGTATGTTTGTAATGCCCAGCCCCTCCATGTGTGCTTGTTAAAGGTCTTCTCATCCTTTAAGTTCCATTTTAAGCTTTCCTGGCAGTAATAATCTTTTTATTTCCAAGGTGTAACATGAGTATATACTATGATAATTCCATTTTAAGTTGAATTTTTCTGATTATTAGTGAAGTTGAATTCTTTTATTTATTTTTTTGATTCTTGGCTGTTTGGGCCTCCTCTTTGTACTTCTCTTACAGCATTTGATACAGTTCGTAACGTGGTTTTTGGTGTATATGCTTTATGTTCCCTGTGATCACATAGATAGGGAATATGTCTCATGCTGCTCTTGGTGCTGCAACTGCTATTGCCACTACTACTACTGCTTTATATCCCTTAACATTTCACAGGTTATGCAGAAATATACTTTAAAATAATTTTTTTTCTGCCTCCAAAAGCTAGGTACTAGAATTAGCTTTTTTCTAACGTTCCCCCAAATGAAGCACAAAGTTAGTCTTGACTTCTCTTCTGTGATAATTCTTTGAGTATATGAAGACTCTACTTATGCTTCTCTATGTCTTCTCTCTTCCTTGTTAAGTTTGCAAGTGTTTGTGTGTTTTTTTGGAACCATAATTCATTTACTGTGTTTTCCAAGTGCTTTACCATATTGGGTTGTCAGTACCTCCCTCAAAGGTTGGTGTCCAGACTTACGATAGGAGCTGACCTCAGAGAATTTAAGGATTATTGCCTCCATTGTTCTGAAAACTGTGCTAAGATAGAATCCATAACTTCAGTCTGATTTTTTGGTAGTATATATGTAGCTCTAGCAAGATATTGTTGTTGCCAGTTCTGATCCAGATCTTTATGTCCTTTAAAGTCTGGATACAGTCCCGTGCATGCTGTTTGTGTGTAGTACTCAGGAAATACCACACACAGGTTATGCATGGGACTGCATCTAGACTATGAAGGATATAAAGATGTGTACAATGCATGGCTCTTAACTTTTTATTTTTTTAAAATAAAAACTATTGAGTACCTACTGAACACTGTTCTAAGAACAGGCTTACAGTGGTGAACAAAATGTACAAAATATTCTGACTTTGTGGAGCTTACATTATAGTTGGGAGAGAGAGGCCATCAATGAATCAGTGGTATGTCAGGTGGGGAAAAGTGTTATGGAGAAAAATAGGGAAGGGACTAGTGCTGAGAGGATTGTAATTTTGAATAGGCTATATCTATTTTTATTTTAGTATCTAATTAAATATTTTATATGTCTTATTTTTACTACTAGATTTTTAGCAACTAGAGACTGGAAGGTGTTTTATATACCATTTTATCTTCCGGCATGCCTTGTATGTCGTAGGTGTTCATATAGATTTGTTCAGTGACTAAATCAATCACTTTCTTTATCTCTGTGGTGCTTACAGAATGTTGAAATTTAGTAGTTAATAATTTACTATCTTGCTTTAATAGTTTCACTGTTATAAATCACATTGCCTCAGCAAAATTATAATCTTGAAAATAATCTTATACTTGTTTTGGTCTCCTTTATAACATTAAGCACATTTTGGCATATAGTAATTTCTTAGTCATTACTGATTTGAGAAAATTTGTTTGGCTGGATAAATTACAAATTTGTAAACAGAAGGAATTGCTTTGGGCTTCAGATTTCTTTGCCCTTAAAAAAGAAGATATTCTGTGGTACTTAGACTATTTCCATACTTTGAAAATGTGGATCTCTTTGCTTTCCTGGTTGTATCACTGACTGTGTCTGCATTATATACAAAGGAATTTGAGCTGCTCTTCCTCTTTCAGGTTGAACAATGTTTAAAACGTTTGAAAAACATGGATTTGGAGGGTTCAATTCAAGACCTTTCTGAGTTGTTTTCTTCCAAGTAAGTGGTCCAGTTGCCTTGTGATGTGATGGGCTGGAGACTCAATGTCTCCTTGTGATCTCCCTTTGTACTTTTCCATGTTTGGGGTTTTAATATAGCCTACTATACCTCAGCTGTACAAATTTTGTTTTAATAAGGGGCACCTGGTATTTGTGGTAATAAATTTTCCCTCTGTTGTTCTGTGGGAGGGACTGGCATGACATTGAAATCTGGGTCAGGGTAGGCTATGTTGAAACATCAGTGGGTGGTTATTGAGCATAACTACCTCAAATTGAGCTTAAAGCAAGTTTTCATTTGAAAAGTGCTATAGAAATGCTTGTATTTAAAAATGAAAGTAACCTACTTATTTATTTTTGTCAAGTGAAAATCAACCTGTAACTACCAGAGCATGTGCCATCCCCAGCCAACCAGTGGTGGAGCTGGTATTGATGAAGGTTTTGGGAGCCTGCAAGTTGTTACTCCGCCTGTTGGACTGCTGTTGCAAGACATTTCTGTATCCTTGAATCTCTGAGATACTTTCTTCTGAATTGGAATTGTTTGGACATATTTGACAGTATTTCTCTTTGAAAGCTAGGGCTCTGTAGGAGTTATAACCTGTAGGAATTCTTAAAATTTTGCTTCTTGAGTGTGTTTTCCCAGGAATTGCCTGGTATAACCATTACTAGAGACTGCGTGTCTCCATCTAGCTTGTATTATCCTAAGAGCATTGACAGCCAGAAATTCTTAATCTTAGTAACTGAACCTTGGAAACTAAATTTAATCATGGGAGTTCTATCGAAGTATATATATTACTATGTTTTTTAAGTTTCCATGACTTAAATAGGACATGTTTTAAGTCTTTACTACCTTCAATAAGATTCTTTTTACTTCCAATCTATTTCTTCTTTGTAATTGTAACTTACAAAACCTATATTACTTTGGTTTTGTTCTCCTACCTTAAATTGATTCTCCAGCTTGACTGTGAAACATCTGGGTTTGCAAGAGTTTATTATTTTAAACCTTGTGATGGTTGGGCTGGTGAGCAGGTTATGGTATGTACATACCTTTGAAATCTTTCATTTCTTTTTCATCTCTCTACCTCAGCCTACGTTTCTTATTACTAGTTTTCATGTTTGTTTTCCCATGGTAAACTGTAGGTGCGGGAGTTTCCTTTCTTCATTTGATCAGAATTTATTTGCGGTTGATTGGGAATCTTAAGTGCTGATGGTTATGTCAAAGGAATAAGCTTCATATCTGAAGTCATGAGATCAACCCAACACTAGATAACTAAACAAATGAAGTCCTAGGACCACGAACTGGAATAATAAAAAATAAAAATCATATTGCAGTGGGCCATTTAAAATGATGGTATTCCAGGCTGGCTAGATCACTTGATTCTTTCTGTCACTTGGTTTCTAATTTTTAATGGCAACGCAAAATACCATTTTTGACCTTCCTTATGTGCTCTAGACTCTTTTCTTTCACCTGAAACACCAGTGCTTTTTGAGGCATGTTTAGTTGTGGTAATCCTTGTAAACTAAAGAGACATTTTCTTGCATATCTCAATATGTGAAACTGATTTGATGGATAATTAGACTCTGAATCTGCCCAGATTTGTAAGAAGACTTGTTTTGGGCCATTTCAAGCAATTAACTATAATTTGAATGTAAGAAAACTTAAAAAATAAAATGAAAATGTAGAAAATTCTTTCTGCCTTTGGAGATTGAAAACCTTGCTTTGATGTCTTAACTTGGTTATCTTGAATACTATTTCAGATCATCTTGCTTTTTATTCTGCTTATTCTTAATCAAAGGTAACAATAGAGGTATAGAGATTTACTAATCATATTATTTTTAAATGTTAAACTTTTGTTATTCTCTTCTGTAATGAAAATAGCTTTATTTTTTGCTGATTGCCACAAGAATATATGCTTATTTTAAGAAATTCAAGAAATATAGACGAAATATGGAGAACCTGAAATTTGCCTAAAATCTCATCATCTAGATAAAATCACTTGCTTCCTTTGACATATATCTCCATGTAGTACTTTTTTGAGTAACCCCTTAACATTTTGTACTTGGGTTTTTCTGTTTGGGTTGAATTAATCTGGCTGTTTGTAAATACTGGCTATAATGTTTTTTACCTATAGTGGCAGAGCTTGACAGCCACCTATTTTCAGCTTTGAATCTTGTAGTTTATTAAGTAATTTGCAAATTGTAATTACTGGCTAATTCATGAGTTCTTGTTTCTTTCTCTAGGGTTCTCTATAAAGGTGTTTTAAAAAGGTTGATTTCTTTGTATGAGCCACTGCTTGGACTGCTTCGAGAGGTTTCTAGGATTCAACCAATGCCTTACTTCAAAGATTTTGCCTTTCCTTCTGATATTGCTGAATTTCTAGGACAGCCCTATTTTGAAGTCTTTAAGAAAAAAATGCCTGCAGCTTTTGCAGCTAAAGGTGTAACTAAATTGCTAAATAAACTGTTTTTAACAAAAGAGCAATCAACAAGGTCCAGTGAAGAAACCTCACTTGGAATTTCCAAAAAATCTAAACATATGAAGATTAATATACAGAATAATGTGGATCTTGGACAGCCAGTAAAGAATAAGAAAGTCTTCAAAGGTAATTTGCCTTGATATAGCACATACTCTAATAAAAAGAAACAAAATGAAAAACTCTTGAAAGTATAATGTCATTATGCAATATGTAGAAAGAACTTCAACATCTCCCTTCTTAATTTTAATCCATATTGATTAGAGAGGTATGGTAATACCTGTGTTTTCTAAGCTTGAGCACTTAAAGTTGTTTGTTTCTGTTGTTTCTTCATAGTTCTTTGCTTGCTTTATTGTCTATTTCTTTTATAGTAATTTGGCAAGAAATGTTGTGCACTTAAGAATTTGTTGTAAATTTGAAATAATATGTCTAGGGCCGGCCCTGTGGCTCACTCGGGAGAGTGCAGCGCTGCTAGTGCTGAGGCCGCGGGTTCGGATCCTATATAGGGATGGCCGGTGTGCACACTGGCTGAGCGTGGTGCAGAGGACACCGTGCTGAGGGTTGCGATCCCCTTACTGGTCAAAAAAAAGAAATAATATGTCTTAAGTTTTTGTATCTGATTTTTCCACCTCCACAGAAAAGTCATCAGAATTTGATGTGAGGGTTTTCTGTGAACAGCTGAAACACAAAGCTACTCAGGTTTGTCTGGTTTAATTTAATACAGCTTATGATTTTGGTTAATTTGTAGACGATGCTATTTACCAAGGGCAGGGATCGAATCTTACTTCTTTTTAGCCCCAGCTCTAAGATTAGTACCTTCTTTGTTCTCAGTGTGTGCCTCTAAATGAATAGAGGCAGGGGATTTTTTAACACACTCACTTGATTCAGTTAGTACAGTGCCTTCAGAAATGTCTTAGTAGGAGTTCCTCTAGAATTTTAAGTGACCATAAGATCCATCATAAGTATGGATTGTACAGCAGCTGTCAGATGGTTTGAATCCTAGTTTTGGTTTGTACTAGCTGTGTGACCCAGTAAGTTTCCTGACCTCTCCATACCTCTATTTCATTATAATGTACTTCCTAGGGTTGTGCTAGTTTTGTATGTAAAGTATCCAGCAGAGTCTGGAATATGGTATGCATTTAATTTGTGTTACGTTTTATTAGCTACTGTCATTTTTGTCATCATTCTCATCTCATTTGCAATGAGGCTTCTCTATTCCTTTCTTGTTGAGGTTCAAGCTTTAACATGATACTCTTATTAGTGTCTGTAAATTCTGTTTGTTCTGGACCTAACAATTGATAAGTAGGTCAGTGTCAGCCTCTTTTACTCAGTACTTTCTTAACTCTTACCCTTTGTCTTTGCAAATGTCTTCTGGTTTCCTTCATGGGTTTATTTCTTCCGTTCTATTTAAGAATTCTTAGTCATTTCTAATAAGTCAGAGTACTTTCTTGAACTTTTACAAGGACTTGAGCTTGCATTGATATTCTGTCCGTTCATGAGTTCAGGAAGGAAGTAACAGTAGCTAATATAGTCATTCCTCAGTATCCATGGTGGATTGGACCACCACAGATACCAGAGTTTGTGGATGCTCAAGTTCCTTGTATAAAAACTACATAGTGTTCGCATATAACCTGTGCACATACTCTCATATACTTTAAATGATCTCTAGATTACTTATAGTACCTAATACAATGTAAATGACATGTAAATAGTTATTATATCATGTAGGGAATAATTACAAGGAAAAAAGTCTGTACATGTCTAGTACAGACCGATCTCTCCATTTTTTTCCCCAAATATTTTCTATTTGCAGTTGATTGAGTCCCCAGATGCAGAACTCGTAGATACAGAGGGGACCGACTGTACTTTCTGTGCCAAATGTTCTAAATGCTTTATATACACTGATGTAATTAATGTATTACTATAATTAATGTAATTCTCACAAAAGCCCTATGAGGTAGTTGCTTTTATTACTGCTTTCATGTATCAGATGAGGAAATCGAAGCATGGAAAGGCCAAGAAACTTGCCCAGACCACACAGCGTATAAGTAGTAGAGCTGGGATTTGAATGCAGGCAGTTTGGTTTTATAGTCTCTGTTCTTTACCATTACACCAGTCTCTCAATTAGTTTTTCAACTCTGTGTCTCAAGGATTATTATGGAGCTTTGTGACCCTTTTTGTAGTCTGTCTACCTGTCTAGCTGATTTCGTGAAGCTGTTGGTCAGCATCTTTCATATTTAAGACTATTCACTACCATATTTTTAGCAATTAGCACTAATACTTGCATTTAGGGCAAACTTTTTTCGATCAACAAACAAAAACTATTGATGGGCCTGTACTTTTATATTTTCTGCTTCTTTTTAAAAAATTTCTCGAGTGGGAGAAATTTGGAAGAAGGTAACCTTTGAATGAAGGATAGAGGTAGTAGACCTGGTAGCGTATTTTTGTAAAGAAATAGTAAAAGTTAGTGAAATACAAACTTGACTTGATACTGAAGGGGTTCAAGAAATAAAGGTGCCTTGTCAGAGGATGATTGAAGTGGAGTTGGAAATGATGCTCGGTTAAGCATTTTTAACGTATGTTCAGCAATCATTATCTGATTTATGAGCCTTCTCTGCTGGGTGCTTTACAAGGCTCCAATTCTTCCTGTCCTTAAGTGTTTTCAGTAACATTTATGACTCATCATTGAGGAGGGTTATTCGGGTGTGGAAATAAGTGAAAAACAAGTTTGAGGTATAACAGTGATGTAGAGAAGGGCCTGTCAGTGTTCCCTCCTCCAACCTCCCCATTAGGCTTTGACCAATATTTAATCATGTGGAGTTTTATTTTCATGTGTATGTTAAGTAGATATGTGTGTTAGAATATTTATATTAAGTTTCCTGTGTCAATCTAATTCAACTACAGATGGGACCTGTCAGTACAGTGGGAAAGAAACCAAAAAAACTTGTGTTAGGAACAGTAGATAAAAAAATTAAGATTTTTAAGACCAAAGGCAAGCTCAGTGAGTGAAAAAAGCTTTCCTCCTTTTAAAAGACTGATTATTTTAAAATTTTGATAGTGAACCAGCTTTCCCTGGTTTATATTTACAAGTAACACACTCAATATATTTTCCTCACCTTTTCACATTTCAGGAGACCAGCTTTGAGTTTAAATGTTCTCAGTCCAAACTAAAGACAACCAAACATTCTTCTCAGAAAGTGATAGGAACTCCTCATGCCAAAAGTTTTGTGCAAAGATTCCGAGAGGCTGAGACTTTTGTACAACTTTCTGAAGAAATTCAAATGGCAATTATATGGTGCAGGAGCAAAAGACTCAAGGCTCAAGCCACCTTTCTGGGTAACAAACTTCTTAAAAGTAACCGACTTAAACATGTCGAAGCTCAAGGTAATAGGTAGGTGTATTACAAAAATTATATTATTTTTTCTGTCATCATTTAGGGCAAAGTGTATGATGGTACTTCAGAAAGTTCATGGAAAGATTCGTATTATCTTTTAATTTTATTTTTCTATGAACTTTTGAAGTACCCTCACCTTTCTTTAAAATGGGATGTCCAGCAGCCCTAGGGGGCCTAAAAGTGGGATCTACTCAAATTGCAATTTCAGTTGCTGTTTTTGTTATATGAGCAAAGCTGTATCATTGGGAGGAAGAAAATAAACTTAGGTTAATTGGACTGACTTATTCATACTCGTCATCATTCTCATCTGTTCATTCAGAAAGCATTAAGAATGTCTGGCGTGCTAAGTGTGGTAATACAACTGTGTAAGAAGACTTAGTGCTCAGAGAGCTCATGCTCTAGTGGCAGAGGTGGGCCCTGTGCAGACAGCTTCAGCTCAGCAGGATAAGAGTGTGAAAGCAGAAGCAGAAGATGCCTGCCTCCTGCAAGGTCCACACCAGACTGCTGGGGTCAGGGTTGGGTTTACTGTTCATAGGATCCAGGCTCTTCGTGTACTAACTTGACTTCTTCCTTTTCCTGTGATTCTTACACTCCTAGAACTCTTTAAGGATGGACATCTTTGCTTGTGAGCCAGTACTGCATGAAGCATTACATGAATTTAGACATTAGACAGGTCAGGGTTTTATATTTCTATTGAAAAAAATAAGACGCAGGTGGTAACAATTTCAAACACAAATTATAAAGATCTTTATGAAGCATCATAAAGGTTATCACTCTGACCTATTTTTTGTGTGTCCCAAGAAATATTCTGTTCATGCACCATAATTTCTTATCTATAGTTATATATCTCTTCAGGGCTTTATAGTGGTTCCTATGGATGAAGCACTTTAATTGTTGAAAATCTGTTAAACTTTCTTTTAAAAATTAGGAAAAGATATTGCTGTTTTAGAAAAAAAAATTGGTATACAATGATGATTTTGTAAAAAGTTTTGGTTAAAAGCCATGGGAGAAGTTGTTGAGTAGTCCTAAGAGATGAATTGCTTGAGGGCTTTATACATTGGGGACCCCTAAAGGCCTGTAGCAATCTAAAAGGGATCTTATTTAGGGTTGGAAACTCAACCTGAGATGGAGGGAGGTGTTCTGTTTAAAAGTCAGGGGTAGATGTGGCAGAGATAGTAATGGCTGAAAGCTAATAAGAAGGGTAACAAACTGGTGTTTACTGGTAGGACCATTATTCTGTATCCCCCCAAATACAGTGCTTTTTCATACTGTCCTATTTTGCTATTTCATTAATACATTATATTTGTAGTACAACTTACTTAATGTCCACAATAACTCTGTGAGATAGGCGGTATCATTCCCATTTTATAGATGAGGAAATGGATGATTTTGCTCAGAATATTAGAACTGGAGATCTAGAACTCAATTCAGGTCCTCCGATTACTGTTTTCATTCATTTTGTTTCTGTTTCAACTTGGAGGTACACCCACCTTTTCCCTACTTAAGCCACTGCTTATAGTAAGACGAGAAAATGGTTTGGAAACACATCATAAATTACTTCATTATAATGGGCTTCTTCAAAGTTCTATATTTGTTTAAAAAGGGAGAGGGGAGGATGGTAGGGTAGGGAGTACAGACCATGTTAATCTTTTAAAATATGACTGTCACAGTGAGGCAGTTCAGAAAGGCACTGATGAACCTTGTGGCAGTGTATCCTTTTCAGAAGCAAAACATCTTAAATGATCAGCTGTTTCAGTTCTGAATTTCCAGACTTGAAGATGATACCATATGAATCACAGTTAGTGTAGTTCAAGGATCTCAGTGTGTCTACGTCAGAAGCCCTGTCTTCTCATTCTTTTCTAAATGCCCTCTTCACTTTTCTTCCCTTTTCCTTGTTCATTTCCTGCTAATGTGAAGTTGCTCATCCAGTTATGATATATATATAAACATTGGCAGAGGTTTTCATTTCTGGTTTCCCCAGTTCCACTCCTGTTACATTATGTAGATTAGGAGGTATGAAGGAAAAGCTCTGGCAAGAGAGTGTAGAGGTATCTCACTTTTCAGGTGCCCTGCTAGGCAGTTGTAGGAGTTAGTTTGAGAGCAAAGTGGGGACACATCTGCCTACAACCTCAATCAGAGGGAAGTTGTGCTCTGAAAGTAGATTTGGGTTGAAACTTGTATTTCCTTATTTTTTATTATGATTCTGGGATTGTACACAGCTTGGAAGTTGGTAGAAAGGAAACGAAAGTGCTTGAGAATGTTTTTCTACATCTTAACAAGCCCAGATTTTTCCTCTCACTGTTCTTTAAAGATTGCCAAAGAAACTGGAGTGCATAAAAACATCTATTTGCAACTGCCTTCTTCGTGGCTCAGGAATCAAAACTTCAAAGCATCATCTGAGACAAAGAAGATCACAGAATAAATTTTTACTGAGACAAAGGAAGCCACAGAGAAAGTTGCAGTCGACTCTTTTAAAGGAAATTCAGCAGTTCCCTCAAGGGTCTCAGAAGAGTGCTACAGATACCAGTGCTAAGTGGAGACTCTCACACTGTACAGTTCATAGAACTGATCTCTACTCCAACAGTAAGAAATTCTTGAGTAGCAGAATTTCAAGTCCTGTCATACAAACTAAGGAGAAACAGATTCATAAAAATCTTACAGGAAGCAATGAAAATGAAACTGATTCAAGGACAGTGATTCAAATAAACAAACATAGTACATCAGGAATCATTAAGGAAACAGATGAGATTGATGATATTTTTGCTTTAGTGGGAGTTTAGGTGTTCATGTGTGAGACTTTTAAGTGCTTAACAAGCTGGTTCTACATTCTGCTGTTTTAAGTGGAACTGCTGAAAGTACCACCTGGACGCAAGAACTGTTTTAGTGCAACAACGAACAGAAGGTCATTTCAATTCAGTAAACATAGTAGCTTTGGGTCATTTAATCAAGTTTTTGGGGGGCTTCAACTACGTGCCAGGCATTAAGGTGAAAAATCTGCCATAGCCTGCCCTTGAGCAGCAGATGTAATTTCTTGACTGAGGCTGGCAGGTCCCTGAAAATTGAATAATTTTATGATTTACCAGGGAATTAAGACCTGACAAATTAAGTCTGCAAAAACCGCTGTGCCTTATGGTAAATGGGGAGTTGGGGTGGGAAGTAGCAAGGAAGCACCTAAAAGGTCACTTTGGCCTTATTAGCTCCGTTGTAAAAGTCCACCTCTGAAACCAATGTTTGTAGAGTCTGACAGTTGTGCTGTCTTGTTAATATATTAGAATTGATCATCAAAGGCACTCAAAAGTTTTGCCATTAATTGTATTACCGGGGACTGGTCACAAACATTCTTTCTCTTTATTTGTTCACCTTGTCTCTAAGGAATGCATGTTAAAATGCTTTTGCAATTCTTCAAAAGGTTTTAATTTTTTGTAACTTGTGTTTATTTATTTGGGTGCCAGTGATTGATTACAAATAAAACTTTTTTCCAAAAAGGATATGAGATGGCTTGTGGTTATACATGGACAACAAAGAGGTAGGTAAGAAAGTAAAATGAAAAAATTAGGGTAGGAGACACAAAATAGACCCAGGAATGAGGCTAATACATGAATTTATAATTTGGTACTGATGCTATCATCTGATATTTGGACACTGCTTGTACAATTTCTCTGAGATAGTAAATCTTATGTATTTTCAAATAACGATGTGAAGTTTAAGGTATCTTTCAAACATCCTAACTGAACTAGAATTAGGTTAATAAGCTTCTGTAGTAGCCTTAAGTTTTATGTTGTTACATACAGATTTACAGGAAAATACTATCCTAATATATACTGTATCCTTCCTTTCCTCGGCCATCCTATCAATTTTTTTGTATTTCCTTTCCATTCTTTATCCGGCCTTGTCTTTTCCCTGTCAGCTTTCTGCATTTTCTGTTATTTATAACAGTGTTTCTCAAACTTTAGGCTTTTTGTCCATTACCTGGTAGATTTTTTAAAAATGCAGATTCTCAGCCCCTTCCCAGACATTGATAAATATGGGCCAGAAGCCAACATTTTTAAAGAAGATCAGGTGATTTTGATACAAGTGGCCCCAAATCCAGAATTAAATAGTAACACTGGTCTAGCTTCTGTCCTGAAACCTTGTTAAACATCCTGGTTTAATTCAAAGTCTTAATCCCTAGTCACTTTTCATTGTGTATATTCCTTCTGGCTTCCTACCAGGTGGTAGTGGCTATTTAGTGCCCTAAAACATGGACAATACCAAGGAGATTTCATTAATGACAAGTCTAGAAATGACCACTGCTGTAGTTTGAATGTCCACCCAAAACTCATACTGAATCTTGATCCCCACTGCAACGGTTATTAAGAGGGTGGGAAATCCAGCTATGGTTTTTGAAAGGTGGGGTCTTTGGGAGGTGATTGGCTCATGAGGGCTCTTCTCTCATGAATGGATTAATCCATTCATGGACTAATGAGTGAATGGATAAATGGGTTACCATGGGAATGGCACTGTGTAGCTTTGTAGAGAGAGCAAATGAGCATGTTAAGATGCTCAGCCCTCTTGCCATGTGATACCATGTGCTACCCTGGGGGTCTGAAGAGAGTCTGCCCTCAGGAAGAAAACCCTCACCAGATGTGCTCTCTTGACCTTGGATTTCCCATCCTCAAAAACTATAAGAAATAAATTGCTTTATAAATCACCCAGTTTTAGGTATTCTGTTATAAGCAACAAAAAATGGAGTAATAAAGCCATCAACTTCTGAATGGCCAACGTATTCCCTTTACATATTGGGAAATGAAGGTAAATTAGTAAGAGAGAACTGGTGTGGTATTGTACACCTACCAGTATAACTTGGTACACTGGTAGAACATTGCTTACCATAGGGCTTGGTTTATCTCCTGGAAGTTGTCAATATATATGCACATACTTCCTTTTAGTAGCCTCTTTCTTTTAAGACTTCATGTCTCAATTTCTGATTCAGAAGATTAAAAAAAAATTCTGGAAATTAGGAGATTTATGGTCTAGTCTTGCTTCTGTTTTATTTGAATGATTCCACTGAGCTAGTCAGTTTACCTGGGTTTAGGTTTTTGCATCTGAAAGTGGCACTTCTGTTTATGAATATTAAACTTTTATAGTTGAAAGAAACTTTGGAGATGATCCTTTGTATTAGTCTGTTTCTGCTGTTTATAACAAAATACTTGGAACTGAGTACTTTGTAAGAAAACAAAATTTATTGCTTACACACAGTTTCTGTGGCTGGGAAGTCACAAGTCCAGGGAACATGTCTGGAGAGAGTCTTCTTCATGGCTTTACAGCAATGCAGGGGTCTCATGAGGCAGAAAATGGTGGAGCTGAGACTCTCATGTATGCTCCTTTTAAAGCCCTCAGAACCACATGGATGTCCACCATTAAACCATCAATTTAATCACCTCTTCAAGGCACCACCTTTCAACTACCATAATAGGATTTACCACCCTCTCAACACTGTCACAGTGGAAACCAAAATTCCAAAACATGGAACTTTGTGGGGGGACAATTTAAGCGTCAGTGAGTTTGGGGGCACATTCAGTCCACGGCATCCCTCCATTAGAAAACCCATAGTGATTCAGTCATATACGGAGGTAGAACTATAAAGCCTGGATAGGACTATCAACCTATCATTTTTTCCTTCTTCATTAATGTTCCTTTAGAGTAAATATCTTCATTTCCACCTTTCCCCATCTCCTGCCCCTTATAGTTCTGGGAAAATAGTAAAAGCTTCACATATGTATCCACAAAATGATAATTTATGTATTTATAAGGGATGTAAAATTCTATATCAGTTAATTGTTCCATGTAACTTAAATTCAGATATTTTGAATTTTTAAAAATGAAATCTAAAATATACATACAAATCATTAGTTACCTAGAAGGTGAGATTATAAACTGTTGTCAGAGTCATCATAGTAAACACCAATTTTTTCCCCTTCTAGTGGCATTAGGGCACTCAGGTCATTTATGAAAGCAGTGTACAAGGCCTGTGAGTCACTTCAAACCCTCTTGGCCTTCTTACTTCAGTTACTGCTGTGGTAACCAGTTTCAAGTGCATCTGGACCTTGTAATCTGCTCTGGGACCTCTTACTTCCTGCCCTTGGGCTTTTGACAAGTTGCAAGAACTGCTTGTCACTTGGGCATGTACAACCTGGAAGCCGTGTGGGGCCATCCCCTCCTCAAAGCCAGTTCAGAGGTACATTTCATAAGGCTCCTCACAAGGTCCCTCGAGCAAGCACTAGTGCCTATGTTTTGGTCAACTCAGTGCATCATTGATAGGCTTTACTTCCTTCTATTTCATTTCACCACTTTTGTTCCCTGGGATCACTCCCCAAATAAACTACCACATGCAAGCTTTTGTCTCAGGCTCTGTTTTTAGAACCTCAGGAAAGACAAGCAGTAAAATAACACTGGCAGAAAGATGACGTCTAAGATAATTCTTTTATCATCATACATTTTACTTAGGGGAATGCCTATCTTAAAAACAATCTTTTTTTTTGGCTTAAAACATTGCTGGTTTGAATAAAATAGACCAATTCTACCAATTATAAAACTGAAAATACATTCACAATTGAATTTTCTAAAAAAGCCACAAAGTTGGTTTATAGCTGTAGTTTTTCTACCCAGCACTATAACTATCACCTTTTAATATTTATCCTCACTTGGAAAAGTTAAGCCACTTACATCAACAGGTCAGTGGCATCTTCACAAAAATCTTTTCCATTAACTTTAGTTCAAAGTAAGGCTTTATCTTTCCAGTCTAAACCTTAAATATACCAATTCTAAACTGTCCCACCAACTTTTTTCTCTCACCCTTTATAAATTAGTTTTCTCACTTAAAGCTACTTTTGTTTTTTGCTTTTCATTAGAGAAAATTTTACCTACCCCATGACGAGATGTTTTCTGTGATAAATCTTCCTATGAATTTTGATATGTTCTTTGGTTGGTTTGGCTTTACAAGTATGCAGCCGTTCTTCTCACATATATATACTTCATGTAATATTTTAATCTTGAGAGCTTGTGAGGTTACAGTGACAAATGAAGTTCAGAGAAATCAAGTAATTTGCCCAAGATATAATAAATATTATTACTGGAACCTGAACTCTGAATCCTGTGTTCACCTGAGAGTGAATGATCCCAGCCTGAAATGACTGGTGTTTCTAACATGGACTAACAAATATTATCAAGAATAATTTTTTAAATATTCAAATAAGAACTTAAGAAAAAACCTTAATTATACACTAACAAAGGAGCACTTATCCTTCAATTTACCAATCAACACTTAACAGAAAAGCAGCCCCTTTTACCTAGTCCACTTTAATATTTAAAACAATACACATTATACTTTCTTTAAAAGACAAAAGCCCAATAAATAATATGGTAAACCCTTCTCTACATAGTAGATTAAGTTTTCATTTTATGGACTTCTATATACTCGTCAGTTTGTTAAAATAGAAAAATCAGCTAGTATCTGTTCTAATGAACAGTAAGATTCAATTATTTATAAACCTTTTTTTCCCCAGGCACAAACTCATTCTTGCTTTGGGAAGATGCAGGTTTTAAAGCTGAAGTGATCCTCCTGTAATTTACAGATACACAATATTTAAAACAATGTTGAAATTCTTCTAGGTGATTAACTCCAGTTGGCACAAAGAATTTTGTATATTTGGCTAAACTGGAGCCATTAGTGAAGATTTCCTGTTATACTTGCTATAAAACATCTCAGCAGATGGATTCCAGAATAGGTCACAGAACTGTGAAAAGAAAAGAAAAATGATTTTTTTTTTCTTATCTCGGAGGTAATAACAGATCTGAATTAATCTAACTTAAAAAAATTATTTACAAACTCTTATGATTACATGTGTGAAGCAGAAAGTCTTTTAATCTCTTCTGCCTTTCCTCTTTCTACCCAGCCTCTTCTTGTAGTATTCTAAAATCTGATGATCCATATTATTTGATCCATTTCCTTCATGATTCTAAAAATTTCACTATGTCTTCTATTTTGCTTTCTGTTTCCCAGAATAAATCTTGATTTCTTTAGCTTGTTCTTTTTGTGACAAAAATTCAATCACCTTGATAATTTTCAAGTTCTTTTTTTTAGTTACTATCACCATTATTATGCCTATTATTTATCTGTCTGTCTTTCTACATCCATCCATCCGTCAGTATTGACCACATGGTTTCTCAGACATGCATATCAATGGTTTTATATACAGGTAAAATATTTCCTGATGTATTGCTAATTCCCTTCCTGATAAAGTGCAGCATTTTTAGGCTTTTTGACCAATGTTGCCTGCTTGAGAACAGGACCTAATGATTCTTGGGTTATAACTGAAATTACACGTATATGGTTTAAAGGAGAGACACAAGTTGGATAGTTCACATCGAACTCATTTGCATCATTTCTGTCAACTCATAATTTTCTGTCCTTACAGTCAGTTCTCATCTGCTTGGAATTTCACTACAGAGAGAACTATGGGAGCATTTATACTGTGCCTGCTTGTATATTTCTTCCATACTTCCCAGCATCAATCCTAGGGGCCTTTCACCATTTATACTTTATGCTGTTGGGGCAGAGTTCAGACATAAAGATTAGCACTTAACTTCTGCTGATATTTGCTGATAGGCTTAACAGCCAAACCTCACCTGACTACATGTTTACCCCATACTTCACTTTTCTTCTAGATGCATACAGGAAGAGAAGGAAATAAAACCTAACTTTGTAATAACTATTTTGTGAACAAGCCAAACTCCCTTCTGGAGGGATGGCCTGCACTTGGTCATGCAAGTAAAAGCAAGAAGTATATATAACACCACTTTGTGCACTGGGTTTTAAGAGCTAAGAGAAAAGCCTGCCAATATCTTATATATGGTTGCTGTGTTATAGTTAACACTGAAGTTCTTGAAGGCCAGTAGGTTCCCATGTCTCAATTCTTAGATTCTGAGTTCTGTGTGGCCTTCTTCAATGCCTTGGTCACCTATGGGGAGTATGACTGCTGCAGTGATTCCAGGGTCATGCAACAGAGAATGTTGGCACATCTAAAGAATTAAATGCCTCTGAAAGGTAGTGAGAATCTCAAAATCTGGATCATAGGCCTGATCCTGACTGAGGTTTGGCAAGGAAAGAAACTAACATTATGTGCCTAATGAGTGTATATCAGTCACATTACATTTTACTTAATCCTTCTAATAATGATATTTTTACCAGTGAGAAAACAGACTCAAGAAAATGAAATAAGTTGCTTTAAAACCAGTAGCAAGGAAGTAGAAGAACCATGCAAAACCATGCCGGTCTGACCCTAAGGCCCATGTTTTTTCTATTTCAGCAAATACCTCTCTGTAACTCACTTAATTTCTCCAATTGATAACCTTATCTGTAAAACAGGGATATGTACTATGACGATCAATTATGTATTTTGAATGATCTAGTGGCATAACCTTCCCCAAGACCATCTGTTTCAGATAGCTCTAGTTGTTCTTAATGTGGAGTCACAATCTGACTGTACTGGTCTAGTGGCACATAGCACATAGCAGTGTGGGACTACTGCTTGATCATTCCCGTATTTTGAACACCATAATTCCATTAATGTAGCCCAAGAAAACATTCTAGCCCGTTTTTCCCTAGACACTTTATACTGTTAATTCAAACTCAGCTTATAGTCAACTTAAACTTAGAATGTTATTTCTACAAATGCTGCTGGTAAGCCATGATTTGCCCATTTTATGTTTATGTTGCTTTTTTGAGCTTACATCTCACTTCTTTCTTATTAAACAATAATAAAGAAATAGCTGTTTTTATATGACAATCCTCAGGGCTCTAAGAAGAATTAGGATTTCATTCCCACCCCTAGGAGTTTCCATTGTATATATGGGACGAAGACAAATGAATAGGATACCAATGTAAGTCAAGGGAATAGAGTATTTTGTAGGAATAAAGGAAGAGGGGTTTTGATAGGCATGTTAATAATTACAATTTAAATCTGATCTAGATTGGTAAAACCTAAAATGATTGCTTAGGGGACAGTTTCATACACAACAAAGTGTCACTTGATTTCATTATTTTCTCATAGCAACTAGCACAATGCCTTTCCATAAAGAAATATGATCAAGAAAATCAGAGAGGAATGGCACTGAATCTCTGCCAAAGTACGCTTACTTACTGTATCTAGGGTATACAATGAAAGTACAAACCCATGCTTTGTCACTAAACCACATCATAATCTCAGAAATTTTAGGAAATAATCATTCTGTCTGCTACCAATGTTTACTTCGAACTTACATGAAACATTTTCTTCTTTCTGTATGGTCTTTTTAAAGGAAAACTTTTATTCCTCACAGCCTGAATAAGCTTTCTACCATAAAGATAAGTTGTTTTTCTTTGAAATTAAGAAAGGGATAGTAGCATCTTCATTGTGGTTGTTGTTTAGCTGATTTTAAGAAGTAAGAAGTTTTCACTTCTGCTGTGGTCTAGGGCTAAGCTAGGCTGAGGCAGGAAGATAATGAAGTGCCTTAAGGAAGGATCTAAGAAGAAACAGCAGAAGAAAGAAAGAATGGAGGAAAAAAATTCAAAGTACTAATGAATTGCACCAACAAATCATGGCTAAATGTGTAGTCTTCCAAATGTCAATAATTTCTTTTTTTTTTTTTTTTTTTTGACCGGTAAGGGATTGCATCGGCATGGTGTGGTCCGCACCACGCTCTGCCAGTGAGCGCACCAGCCATCCCTACAGAGGATCCAAAACCGCGGCCTTGGCGCTCCCAGTGCTGCACTCTCCCGTGTAAGCCACGGGGCCGGCCCAAATGCCAATAATTTTTTAAATGACAACTCAATTTAAGAAACAATGGTTTAATATTAAAGGTTTTTAGTACATAAGGTTATAAAAAATAAACTCTTACCTTACAGGAAATAACTGAGGAAAACATCCTTGTGTTTGCGTGTTAACAAATTTCTGAATCTGAAGCACTTGTTTTAAAAGATGTCCCTTGGAAGATTTGTCAATTTTTGTTAATACCATCTGTAAGAAAATAAATTTTTAAGCATTAGAAATAAAATATTTAATATACAGGTTTTACACATTTTAGCTACAATTTTTCAGTAATAACTAGGTGACCCATGCATATTTGTGAATCTCTCTATACCTGTTTCCTCATCTATAAAATAAAAACAATACCCCATAAAAGAGTTGCTGTGAAGATTAAATTAACATGTACAACATATAAAGTATATGAAGGATCTTCAAAAGTTCATGGAAGGACTGTATTATCTTTTAATTCCACTTTTCCACGAACTTTTTAAGTACCCTAGTACATTACTTGTTTGCTGTTTAATGGTGCTTTAGCTATACGGGGCCTAATATCTTGGATTTAAGATCAGTGAGAAGGACCCTGCAGCCATATCTGCAATTGCCATAAGCTAAATGTTTCATATGATCACAATGTATCTTGTGGTCTAAAACATACAAATGAATATTATTAGGTTGCTCCAAATAAAATTGCCAACTTAAAATCATTTTTGATCTACAAAATGGTTCAGCCTTATATGAGGGTATTTCAAAAAGTTCATGAAAAGGTTCATATTATCTTTTAATTCTATTTTTCATGAACTTGTTGGAGCACCCACCCTTGTATGTAATACTCTAAAGGAAAAATTAGAAATTGGGCTATTTGTAGGTTGTATATATTATAGTTAGATACCAAGTGAGTCTAGAATTTTACTAGTCCAAAGACAACTACATGGATGATTACATAATCAACTAAAAAGTAAAACCTTGATCCATCAGCTTTTCCAGGGGAATTCCTATAAAATTAGATTTCCTGAGGAATCAAACTTTTTAGTCATAAAAAATGCTAATGGCAGGAGTGAGAAGAAAGTGTGGTTTTTTTAATGACTTGTGAATCCCCCCAAATGGGAGTCTTTCCTCATAAAGAGAAATGTGCTGATATTTAAAAGAAGATATAATTTCTCTATCCCAATTCCTTTTCCAAAGAAAAAAGTAGTATTTCCTTCCAGTTAAAACTAGGAAAATATATGATTTCGCAAACTGGTACCTATGATACCAAATCAGGAATACTTTTACTTAAAAAAACCAAGTTAGCAATATTTAGCCATTTTTACTATGTAAACTATCACTTCTTTGACTTCTCATAACTGTAAGTTATGTGTAATGCTTCATAGGACTTTGGCAAACCCCAAGAATTCCATAACCCCAAGAATACAACAAAAGTGGTTGACTAGTAGCATGGTTTGATTTGCATTAAACTCCACTGTTATATTTTAGTGGTTTTCTGAATTTTTTTGAAACCAAATTATAGTCACTGGATTCTTCACTGCTATTTTATCTGGAAGTCTCACAAAGAAAAATTAATGTGGATAGCAACCTATAATCTATATTCTATCCTAGGTCAAACAACAGAAAGAACACTGGTAAAATATTCTTAAAAGAAATTTTGTTTTCTTTAAGAATATAAAAACACTACCTGTGTAAGCTAAAGCCTGCTATGTTTTATATTTTTAAATCCAATTTAGTTTAGCAAATTTTTGGTTGCAGTTTTATTTACATTCTGATTAAGTACCGTCTGCCAAGCTGCTGTTAAAGAGCTACTAACATGTTTTGGACAAATGTTTATATTGCCATTAAAAAAACACAGGAAAAAGAAAAGCACTTTGGAACATTAAATGAACAGCTTAAAAAACCTTTTTAACTATTAAAAACTTAAAGCTAAGAGAAGGAAAAGAGAATAAAAGTGCCACAGAACTTATTCTAACATTAATGGCTGATAATCGAAAAGATTATTCAAAAGGCATTCTCTTTAATCTTTTGAGGAGGCAAGACCTGCTTATTCGTTAAAAAGTGTTTCTATGTGCACAGATGCACACAGAACTGGTATTTCTAACTGCAACCATGATTCAAAAGAAATACTTACCACATAAGGCAATGCGAACTCTTCACACATTTCTATGGCAATATTGTCTGTTTTTTGAATTCCAACAACACTATCTACTAATAAAAATGTTCTCTTTAAACTATAAGAACATAGAAAAGAAGATTAGTAGCAACTTAAGATACACTTATTTTTCTCCCCTCAACCCTTACTATACTAAGAAATTTTCTTTTGAATAGTTATCAATTCAAAATTTAAAACTTTCTTTAGGCAAAAGGAATGTTTAATTCACCAAGTTCATCCTACAGTCCAGTAGGTCTCAATGCTGTTTACTTTCAATAACTGAATTTGCTAAATATTAATTTATTTCAATAAGCATTTATTGAACATAACACACTCTGCCTGGAATTTGATACAAAGATGAATGAGTCCCTTCCTCTAAGAGCTTAAACTCTAGTGAGAGAAAGAGGCACAAATCCAATTATGTTATAGAAATGTTTAACTTTTAAAATATTACTTTAATAATAACAACAGAAAACGGACACATTATATATTGCATTTTCTTATGTAAATATTTCATCTTGGTTTCTATGTTAAGCTATAACAACAAAGATGCTTATAAACACTTTTTTACACTTCAAAAGTTTAACATTATTTTTCTGTATATTGTGTAATTCTTGAAACACAAAACTATCACTTGACTACCTATGGAAACAAAATTAAACAACATTTTCAGAGGATGTGATGTCTGAGATATTTTAAGAATGATGAGAACTTACTAAAGTTTATTTAAATCTAGTAAATACCACATTAACCAATATTTTTCATTTTCAAAATTAGCCAGCTAAGAGTTTAGTTTAAAAAAAGTTAATGAACTAACTCTGCTGTAGTACTCTTTTTAATCTCAATTTAGGAAAATATGTGAATTTAAGATTAAGATAACCTACAGGAAGAAACCAAGCAAGCAGTACATACCTTGGTCCTAAATACTGTATTGTATAAAATTATGAAAATAAAATGGGACTTCTAAAATAAGTCATTTGATAAAACTGAAGTGTTCATCATGTGTAGAAAACTCTTGATGAAAATGTGCTTTTAGGTTAAACGTATAATTAGTATAAGAAAAATTTTTCCTTACTTCCTTCGTTCTTTTAGATAGGTCTCCACCATGTCAACAAAATCTTCAGGTGCTCTATAGCCATAACCTGGCATGTCCACCAATGTAAAATATTTTCCAACTTTGAAAAAATTCATTTTCTTTGTGTGCCCCTGATAAAGTAAATGGAAAAATAAAAGCTGTCTTAAAATGTCCTTTATATATTTCATGACTTGAAATGTTTTCTATTCAATCAATAAATATTTACTAAAAGCCTAAGTATATAATCCTAGCTATGCTGATGGTAACACAGGAAAAAAAGAAAGAAGGGATGTGGCTGGAGATAAGCTTCAATCATACTTCTTCTTCCCTCCAATTCATTTTTTTAAAAAAAACCTGTATGACCTAAGAGGAAATTTAGATCCCGTATTAGAAGGCAAAATGTTTTTGGAGTCTTTTCTATTTCATTAACGCTTGGTGTAAAAGTCACCCTGTTCTAAATTGTGTGACTGGATTACTCAATATTCTCTGATGAATAATTTATCTCTACTTTAAAGAGAAATGGATTATGGCACTGATAGGTTGAAATGTTTACAATCAGTCATATGGGTTTTTGTAAAACCTAGATCCAAAGCCTGATAGTTTCTTATACCAAGACTATTGCTTCTCTAAAATCAAGATGTTTTGCATGTTTTATTAGGTGGGTTTTAGTGATTTTATTAAATAATTTTTTTAAAGCATGTACAACACTATACTGTGATTATAAAATACTTGTGCAACTAAAATTGATCTAATGATAATAAGTGGTTTATTCATAGTTTTGTGTCCACAGGACATTTATTAATTAGAAAAGGAAAGATTAAGATGGACAATTTACAAAGTTAGTCAATTGTTTGGATCTTATAACAAATAGTATCAGAGGAAAGATTTTTATAAATGGTGATTAAGTTCCCAGTCAGTTTATCTGTCTGTCTATAAGAAAATGATTTTAGAATTACAGATTGGGAATATCAAAAATACATTTCCTCCATTGTCCAATATGAAGGTGAGGCAGGGCAGGAGTAAGGATGGGAAAGTTAAGGAATAGGAAAAACCATTAGCGATGGAGCCAGAGAATCAACTACATGAAGTGGGGAGCAAGAGAAGACTAGTGAAGTTTCACGGAAGGGTTCCAACTTGATGAAAGAATGAGGGTCGGGAGAATGAACGGTCGAGGGGCAGCTAGGATTAGGTTTTGCCATGTACAGATAAGGTGAGGAGAAGTGGGGGTAAGCTTTGAGAAAAGGTTATCTTAGATATTGGTAGAGTGTGCCTCATTGAGAAGGAAGTGGAAGAAATTTGAAAATGGCGGAAAGCTATTACAGCAGACTGGCTAGGATAAAAAGCACATCATTTGGGCCAGGGTAGACACAATATACCTGACTGGTATGAGTTAATAAGGTATGAAGAATTATAGTAGGAAAAAAGTAAAAAGCTTTTAAAGCTGTTTCCCCTAAAATCAATGTAGAACTAGATCACTCTTACAGAACGAAATAGAAAATAACAATAAGACACTTTATTTGGCAACTGTTTGAAAGATTTGGACGAAAGAAGATTTACTCAAAGATACTGGAAAGACTACTATAACAAATCCAGCCACACTTCCTTTTCTTCAGAGAAATACACAGCCATTAATGAAATGTCTTCCTTTATTATATGTTTGAAAAAAATCACTTCTCTAAGACCTTAGCAATTATGATTCCTTGTACCTCCCAACATTTATTATTTATCTTAGTCAATTCAAGAGATGGTCCAGATATTTTTAAAATTTCAACTCACGGGTTTTTTGGAGACTCTGACTTCAACCTCTGGAGCCAGTGATAATAAAGCCTTTATTAGAGAGGATTTTCCAACATTACTTCTGCCTATAAAACACACCTTATATGAGAAGAAAGAAGATAACTGAGTATTAGTTTTTATATATATATATATTTATTATATGCTGTATTACCTGCAAAACTCTGCCAAACTATTCAGTCTTGCCAAGCCATGTAAAATTAGCTTATGTTTAGTCGAACCTCCAATTCCAACATACAGCTAATATTTACTGAATGATTTCAATGTGCCAGGTAGTGTTGTAGGCACTTGACATACATTTTCTTATTTACTTTTTACGGCATCCATAAAGATGAGGTAGGTAATATTATTATTCCCATTTTACAGATGAGAAAACATAACTGGCCCAAAAGTAAACAGCTAGAAATTGTGGAGTTGGGATTTGAACTCAAGACATTTATATCCAGAAACTGTGCTTTTAATTACACTATTCTACTCAAGAATATCTACAACTTTTATCAACCATTCCATATTTACAAAGCTTTTTGAAGTAAAAATTAGATGTATTTCAACAAAACTGGCTCAAAAGTACAACTACATGTTTGGAATCATTTTCTCATGAACTTCCATAGTACACTGTAATACCACTGCAATTTAATGGTTATTCTTTTCCCTTGACCTCTCTTGTTCCAATTAAGCTTTTCTCCTTTGTGATGTGGAAAGCAACAAAATATTCCTGCTAATAACGATTAATACACATGGCTCTGCTTCTTAAGATGGTATTGAAGGGGGGACAATACCAACCAGTTGTTCTAAATGAAGGCAGTATGGCCCCTTGGGGGCGTTTTGGGAAGTTCTAAGAGCATTTTTAGTTATCAATACAATTGGGGGGCATTTGGTGCTCAGGGGACAGGAATTCTACATATTCTGCAAAACCTGGTTCAGTCCTTCAAACTCAATTGATCTGAGTCCTGCATAAATTTCAAACGCTCTGCGAGATTAAATCCAATGCTAACATACGGATAAAACTGAATTTTTAAAAACGAATTACCCAAAAGTAATTTGGAAGCTTAAATCGAAAAGCAATGCTGTTTCCAAATTTTTAAAGAATTTATGTACTCTCTGAGTCCTGACTACTTATATTATTGTATCAGTTTTACATATGTTTAGAAGAAAAAATTCGGGAAAATGGTACAGTTACTGTCAATATGTATGGAGATTCAAGCCTCCTTTTAGCTTACTTAGAACAAAATATTAAACTGTAGGACATGCATAAAATGCACTCATGGAATTTCACTCCTAAGAGCTGTTTTGAAAAATCTTCCACTTTATTGCCATCTGTACAATAGTAATTATTTCTGCACGAGAGGAAATTTAGATTGGGTGAAAATGACATATTGACAAGGAAACTGAAACTATTGCACGTTTCCTATTCTTCGCTGCCTAAATCCTGCCTAATTTGTGTCGGCATGTTTTCCCTACTTCAATTAAAAACAAACAAAAAACGATAATAAAGGGACAGAGTTAATTTTTTGACCGCTGTTTGGGTTTTAAAACCTTCTAAAGCCTTTCAAAATCTTCTACATTCATTACCAAAATAACTAAAACTATGTATATGATTATTAGTTAAAATAATATATTCGTCCACACACACACAAAAGCTAGGAAATATCTTCGTTGGGTGACAAGAAATAAGTGACAGCAAGATCCCCGCGCAAGCCTTCACGGCCGGCTGGGAGGACGGGCTCCGGTTGGCACGTGAGCGGCGAGCAGATGCAGCTTTCACCTCAGGCCGGGGGAGGTCCGGGGCGTGGTCGAGACGGACGGCGGAGGTGAGGTACTCGATGCGGCTCCGGGCGGTGGCCGAGAAGCAGCTCTCCGCCCTCCCGATGTCCTCCAGGCTCGGGTCGAAGATCCTCAGGTTAAGTTCGGGCCTCGTGTTCGGGGCGAGATGGCGCTCGAGTTCTTGCAGCGGGTACACTAGCTTCGTCAGCTGTCTCGTCGGCAGCTGTAGCACCTCAGCAAAAACCTGAGATGTGCTGTACGTTCGGCTCAGGCGCCCCAGCGCCAAGGACATCTCGAAGAGCTTTCCCACTCCAAGCCGCAGCCTCGGTGCCGCCATTTCCCCAGAAGCCCCACAGCGGGACCGCATTCCCAGGGTCAGGGCTGTGCGTGCGTGAAAACTGTTACCGCGATGCCTGCTGGGAATTGTAGTCTCCACGGGCCTCGCTGGTTCCTGCCTTCGCGTCCAGTGCTCTGGGGGCGGGCGGGCTAGAGGCCCGCGGGAGTGACCGACTGGGGAGAGCCCGCCGGATTCTAGGCTGAGGCTTTGACTAGTCCATCGCCCTGGGAGGATGTTTAACGGTTTCCAGAGGTGAAAGACGTACCTGGCTTGGGCTCTTGAGTGTCAAGTGAAGGAGTAAAAGTGTGAAGTTCTGGTGGATTCCAGGCCCGTTTTATCTGCACGTTTCTCGTTTTCTTATGGATCGTTGACGTTTGTCATACATCCGCATCACTAGGAAAAAAACACTTCAGTAAAAAAGAAAAGGGCTGATGAGAAATGTGGTTGGGATAACATCTTGGATTTGTTTGTTTTAAGTTAAAGTATTTATTGGTGTGTTTAAACTCTGTACATTCTCCACAGATCACAGTTAGGAGTTTGTAGGTTAAGTTTAATCTGTGCATAGTGGGAAGGGACATGGAGAGGGACAAAGGAGAGAAAGAAGAAGAAACAAAAGTCCCAGGGAAATGAAAAAAAAAAAAAAATACACTAGAGATTAGGAGAACCTTCAGATTAAAAAAAGAAGAAAGAAAAAACTGTGAGCATCAACATCAACTATACAAACATAACAAAGACTCATGTGACGGAAACAAACATCGTCAAAGTTTTCCACAGTGTCTACAGGTCCAGTTTCCTGTATAACCTGGAATATTCTCCTTTCACACAAAAACAAACCTCCCTGTGTTTGTTTCTGCTGGGCCGTCAGCTGCTTACTTACTGTGGGCTTCTCTGAGTGAACACCAACGAGGCTGGAGATGGGGAGGGGGCAGAAGTTAAGGTACAAAGAAGAGGGTGGAGGGATTAGTGTGTTTGGAGGGAAATGTCCAAAGAGGAAGAGACCACACATTTGGACATACTTGGAAGGGGAAGTGAATACTATAAAGCTATGGTAATTAAACAAGGGATATGGGAGAATGTCAAATACAAACCACAGGCTGATTTCTGTGGAAGAACTGGATTTGGAAGGAAAGCAGCAGTGGACACTATCATCTGTATATATTAGGCTTGCTAAAAGACGCTGGAATGAAAATGCCTTTAACCTCCTGGTAATAGAACTTGTATGGAGACACCAAGGTACCCAGCAGTGGGAACACCAGACTTCCAAAAAATTCGTCCTTTAAAATCATTTTGAAAGGGTGTCATGATGTATTTCAGTGTTCAATTACAGTTGTCTATTCCACTTAGCTTCTCAGCAACTTTCTGAAAGCTCATTTAAAAAGGGAATACTGCCTTCTTTTATTCTTTTTTTTTAAAAAAAATAAAAACCAGAACAGTAAGTGAACCCAAAAAGTTGACTTAAACAATGTAGCTGGAACAAACAGCCTGCCAATATAGTCTATCATTGAACATCAACAATTTCCATTAATATAGAGGGCATGTATGAGACAATACAATAGAAATGGTGCTGTTCGTATTTCAGTCTTCTCTATGGCTGCAAGAAATGTCATCAAACTTTAGAGATTTCTTATAAAATAAAACAGTTTGCACAGGTGATACAAAATTGTTTTCATGGATGTTCTGTAACGACATCTCATTTCAAAAGTTTTTTTTCAAAGCAGTTCAAACGGATCAGTGCTAGAATGGTAGATAAGTGCATGGTAAGATGAAATGAGTAACTGAAAAATACTCCTGTGTAAAAATGGTATGTCTTCTAAAACAGCAGTAAACAGCAGAGGAATGTTAACTAATGGTCTCTTAAGCTATTCCCCAGGTTGTTCAGTAACTAAACAAGGCAATTCTTGAATAAATATGATACAAAAATTGATGAACAGGACCAACGATTTTGAGAGTAGCCAATACAGCAGACTGACCTGCTGCTGGCTGGCTAATTTTTGATTGGTCTTTGCATTAAGCTTTGAGGCTCCTCTCCATTCCCTAGTCTCACTCCCCCATCATAAAGCACTTTATAAATAAATAACATAAAGCAATTCATTGTATACATCCAGAAACTTGAGATTACATATATTACTATGTACATAATATACTTTGAAAGTACTTTCATATGTGCCATTCTATTTCTGAACATTAGGGCCCCAGATTTGGAAATAAACCAGAGCATAAAGGACTTTTGAAGAGCAGTGAGAGGGAGGAAAGCTAGAACTGGGAGGAATTAGTTTAAGAAAACTAACCCCATTGTAGAGTCGCAATAAAAATTATAGGGTCTACAGCGAATTATCAAAGTTCAGGATAATTAGGGCAAAGAGCATCAGTGTGGTGGATGGGGTATTGCAACAGGACTCTCTGGGTTTTGCCGGTACTCTGAATCTGGTTGTTGACAGCATCTTTGTTCTAGGTGGACCCTAGCCAACAGTTATAGATAGGGACTCAGGATCTAGCTTTCTAGATCAGGTGTAGGTAAGGGCTAAGATTTAGAAGAGGGTTTGCCTCCTAGTCAGGAGAAGGAGGCGTGTACATTAGAAAACCATGCTGTCTAATACATATCCCCAATTTACTATCTCCAAACAGAATTCCTGGTATTTTCTCATTCTTTCCTAATCTGTTCTTTTTGCAGTCATTCCCATGTCAATAAATGGCAACTCCATTCTTCCAATTGATCCCCCTTCAACTCTTGGGAGCAATTCTTGATTTCTTTCTCTTACACCCCACATCCTGTTAGCAATCCCCTCAGTTTTACCTTGAAAACATATCCTGGTTTTGACACTTTTTAGCACATTCATTGCTACCATCCCGATCCAAGCCATCATTATCTCCCACCTATATTACTTCAATAGCTTCCAAACTGCTCGCCCACTTTTGCCTTTTGCCCCCTTCAGTACATTCTCAACATGGCGGCAACCATGATCCTGTTAAAATATAAGCTAAAATCTCCCATAGCTTCCTGTATCACTCATTCACTCACTCACTCACTCACTCACTCACTCAAACAAAAAGCTGTAATCTTCCTTCTCCTCCCCACTTCTTGCTTGTCTGACTCCATTTACTATTATTCTCCCCTTGTTTACTTCATGCTTCATTCTGGCCACACTGGCTTCCTGCTGTTTTTCAAGCAATCATACATACACTCCTTTTTCTGAGTCTTTGCACTCCTGCCTGGAATGCTTCCTTCAGATAATCACATTGTTTATTCCCTTACCATTTAGGATGTGTTTATGGCCATCCTTCTGAGAAAAAGTGCCTTCTGTTTTGACAGCTAAGGAGGCAGTTTATCACAAAGTTAACAATATTTTAAAATTTTATGTGACTTGGATAGATATGACATACTTTGCACACAGTCTTGAGAATCAGCTTTTATTGCTAAAATTCATCTGACTTAAATGTCACAGTTATACTCTGTCATGTTCGGCTAATGAGAATAGAAGGAAGATAGGTAAAACAGTGGCGGGATCTTACCATTAGGACAGGATCATCTCAACTGTTTCTTTCCATTATGTCTGCCTCTATAATGAATGGCCATTGCATCCAGAGTGATCTCATTTATGTTGAAGTCCTATAGGTGTCAAGTTTAGGGAAACCAGCTAAGACAAGAAGAAGGTAAACATTGTAGGCCTAGAAGGTAGGTAGATTGGGGACATCAGAGAGTCAGCAAGCATAGCATGCACATGGATTAATTCTCATGCTAGGCTAGACGTGGTTTGAATGCCCTGACAGAAGCAAGGGTGGAGACACTAGGAAAACTTAATTGTAGATGGAGAGAGAGGATGTGTCCAATTTACACATCACTTTCCCCTTGTTCTAACAAGAGTAATTAACATTTATTGAGTGCCTCCTATGCCAGGAATTGATTTGGGTACCAGGAATAAACTATGAGAAAGATCTGGTCACATTCAAATTGGGAACTCAGACTCTCGAATTAGGAAGAAGATATTGGGTGAAAGGAAGAAGGAAGAGGCATTGTACGAAGGAGAGTGACATGGGAGAATCTTCCACATGTAACTTGAATTGCTTGTGTTGTAATAACTACTGCCCGAATGAATGATTTAAATTTACAATGCATTTAATTATATTTCCTCAAGTTTTTTGCAACATTTTATTTAAAAATCTACATTAGGTATTACCTCACACATTGACACAAATTTGTGGCACAGACATATAACATGATGTATGACTTGTCCACCTAATTTTTAAAATTAGGTTATTGGTTATTATTCTTGAAATTTATTATTTTACCATTATTCCAGAAACAACAGAGACATATTTCCCATAATCATCTTTGGAAGTTCATCAAATCATTGAGTTTCATTTATATCTCATTAATGTAACTTTAGAGAATATCTCTAACTTCAGAGAAGTTTTTTTGTTTGTTTTTTTCTTCAGAGAAGCTTTTTGAGCCTTGTTTTAAGGTTGTGCCTGCTGCACTGACAGATTTCTCTAAAGAGATCTGGAGATTAAATATCAGACAGTACCCATGTGTAGGAGGTAAGTTCTTAGAATGATTTGGTTTCTGGAGGAGGAGAAAAGATTCACTTCCCTCAAGGTTGTTTTTAGCAATAAAGAGAAAAACGGTTGCTTTAAGTAGCCTTAATTTTTCTCATTTGTAATTGTGTATTTGACTCTCTGCCATACTAGTGCTATTAAAATATTTTAGAAGGCTCTTTACTATATTCAGTTTGTGTTTTTATATTGGTTGTTTTTATGTTGTGGTTGGAAAAAAAGCATGGATTTTGCTATTCTGACGGATTAATTCATTAACATTTTAATTCTTATTACTTATCAGGCAAGTTTATTTTGGTGGGCAAGTTTACTTTGTAGTACATTTCTAATTCAGATCTCATTGCCTTATTGAATGTGAACGGTATGCTCTCTGGCACCTTGAAGAGATGAGGCAACATTCCACAGGCAGACATGTTGATCTGTGTTCAAATTTTGAACTGTTTCAAGGGTAATGTGT